ACCACAATGACCCTGTCTAAGATGACCACCTGTCTAAAACGATCACCTGTCTAAGACGACCACCTGCCTAAAATGACCACCTTTCTCCTCGTCAATATATGGACCAACCTAAATAAATTCAACTGTATTCTTAACCCTATCCGTACGCCTTGGGGTCATTTTGTATGCTCGGATAGTGTTAAACAATGACTATTGATACACCTTGAGTTATCGCCTGTGTCTTTTTCTTCCGTTCTAGTTTTCATTCTTCTTCGTTATAATCGTAGAGACGTGTCTGAGCCAAGTAGAACATTCACCGACGAAAGCTAAAAGTGATAAGAATAATCCAGGATACCATCGACTCACGAAAATTCTTGGCATTATTCAAATCTGAGCGCAAGACCAAGGCATTCCCTGAGTTGAGTAAATAAGTCAAAACACCCGAGTCAAACAACTGGAAGACAAACGGTCTCCTTTCAGGGAAGGATGGAGGGAGGGGTTGGGGGGGTCGGGGCGAGGGATCTTAGACGAATTTGTATACAGTGTGGAGTATAAATATTACTCGGCAAGATCATCTATTTTAATGTTTACGTCGTCTTCAGACCAGGGGTGGAATTGGATAAATAAAAAAGATTTACCGGAGAGAGGTTTAGCTTTCACGAGGGGAAAGTTCCCTATGATATAGCACTTTTTGAAAGATCTGTTGAGGGGTGTGGTGCCAAACTGTCGTATTTCAAAAATGACAACTTTTCAAGAGAAACGAAATACTGCTGAACTTCTCCGCTGCTCAGAACTTATACTAGTTTGGGACAGAGCGCTTTTATTATTATTATTATTATTATTATTATTATTATTATTATCATTGTTGTTGTTGTTGTTATTATTATTACTATTATTATTATTATTACGTTGGGGGTTTTCTTCTCAATATTATTATTTCTAACATATTAGTACATACTGATAATGACTGTTAAAGTCATATCACTTTGACACACGATTTGCCTCGTGAGCATGTCTCCGGACTTTTAAAAAAAGCTGTGTCTGCAGGTACGATAGTTTGCTCCCCAACTGATCCCAACTCTCATTTTGTAGCGCTGTGTCTGAAAGGATGAGTGGGCAAGCAGGGTTATTCCACGAGTTAGGTGTACCACATAAATCAAACGCCCTGTCTGGCTCTACCCAAGTGTCCTGGTAAAGACGCGCAAAATCAATACAAAGATATCTATTACATATTTGGCGACTTGTATTATAATATACGAGTTTCCACCGAACAGAATTATATGCGTTAATGTGTGGAATTGAATAGTTTAAGAGTTTAAGCTCCCTTGTCCATCGGCATGCATTCTCACACCACGCTATCTTTTTGCATTGCAGATCATGAGTTAA